CTGTCTGTCTGTCTGTCTGTCTGTCTGTCTGTCTGTCTGTCTGTCGGTCGGGGCCAGAGGGGCAGTTAGATGACAACTGACAGAATGTCATGCCCTATAGTCCTCATATGAAGTTCAACCTGTACATTAAAGGCCAGAGAGATATTGATAAAGTTGGTTGGAATGTCAATATTTTATACAAATATAGCATATCATCACTCCACTGGACAGCCGTGTATAAGTATTGTACCTGTTGTGTACATGGAATTGTACAGTGTGTTTGTGTGTGTGTGTTTGACAGTTATTTCCTTTAGATAATGATTTCCTTTTGTTGTAGACTATAGAGATCATCTTTTACATTAGAGACTTTTGTTGTAGACTATAGGGAGATTATTTTATATTAGAGACTTTTGTTGTAGACTATAGGGAGAATCTTTTACATTTGAGACTTCTGTTGTAGACTATAGGGAGAATATTTTACATTAGAAACTTTTTTTTGTAGACTAGAGAGAATCTTTTACATTAGAGACTTTTGTTGTAGACTATAGAGAGAATATTTTTACATTTGAGACTTCTGTTGTAGACTATAGGGAGAATCTTTTACATTAGAGACTTGGATGAAGCCTTTCAGACAGAACTATTCATACTCCGGTTGCAGACGGATTAGAGTTGATATAGAGTAGTTCCTAGCACATGGTTCAATCTTGGTAACCCAAGTTGGTAAATTTACAAACGGTTTACTAACATAGATAGGTATGGTGCTATAGTTGTTAGAGGCAATTTTTTATTGGTCATCCCGGCTTTTCAGATTGTAAACATGTCTTGTTTCTAACCAGGATCTGTAGTTGCAAAAGCTTTTTTGCAGCCCTATTTAAAAATATTTTCATGAAAAAAGGAAACAAAATGAAGTCTTGGTGAAGATGGTTGGTTGTTAGGATTTGGGGAGCATGGTGGGGTATAAAATTAAAGGAAAGTTACATGAAACAAGTAAAAGAGGGTAACATGATATGGTGTGATGTCATGAGGGGACTACCGGGAAGGGGGAGGAGGGGGGGGTGTGAGGCTGAACTTCTAATCGTGAAGGGGAACATAGTGCCAGAAGGGTGATATGTGCAGGGGGGAGAGGAGGGGGAGGGAGGGGAGGGCACTGGGTAGGACAGCGGACAGGGGACAGGGGACAGGGGACAGGGGACAGGGGACAGGGGACAGGGGACAGGGGGCCGTTTCCCATCCCTTTGAACCTTGTATTACTGGGTGGAAAACACCTGTGTTCAAATACTACTTGAAATCTTTCAAATACTTTCAGCATTTGCTTTAGCCTGCCTCGACTGCCAGGTAGGCAGGGTTTTGCACTTTTGGGACTTTTCTATTGTTTCCAATGCAACAGGCAAGTTCAATCAAGCACAGATAAAGTATTTAAAAATATTGTTAAATAGTATTTGAACCCAGGTCAGGTGGACACAGTCACAACCAGACTAGATACATTATCTTCTGCCTCATTTGACCCGCTACACCATCATACAGGCAGTGCCACCACTCATCTGAGTCTACCACCCCAAACAAACTAAACCAAAAGAACATCAGCAATATTAACAGAGAGAAAAGGCAAGTAAGGAATAAAAAATTATATCTATTATTAATCATTTTAATTATACGTTTTTAAACTATGATTTAAGATGAAAAACAGGTAATTTCAGGGAGAGAAAGAATAAAAGCAGAAATGTTTTGCAGATCACTGCTTATCTGAAATCTGGGCATTGGAAACCATCTGTATCCCCATATTGTTTATCCTCTTACTGTATTCTTTACAGAAGTGTCAAATGGTCAAGGGCTGGATACAGATAGTCATGATAATATTCATAATAATTTATAATAATAAAAGGAATCAATAGGCAATACATTTTAAATAAAAAAGTGGATAAACAAAATTGCGACTCCAATGTTGAGCAAAATCACCATGACGACCAGAATTGAGCTGGAGCCCTGTGGAGGAGGGATGGAGAGAATAGAATATGTTAATTCCGACTTCTTTCACTAACGTAAGGTAAGCACACACACACACAGCTCTACCTGTACACACACACACAGCTCTACCTGTACACACACACAGCTCTACCTGTACACACACACACAGCTCTACCTGTACACACACAAAGCTCTACCTGTACACACACACACAGCTCTACCTGCACACACACACAGCTCTACCTGTACACACACACACAGCTCTACCTGTACACACACACACAGCTCTACCTGTACACACACACACAGCTCTATCTGCACACACACACACAGCTCTACCTGCACACACACACACAGCTCTACCTGTACACACACACACAGCTCTACCTGTACACACACACACAGCTCTACCTGCACACACACACACAGCTCTACCTGCACACACACACAGCTCTACCTGTACACACACACAGCTCTACCTGTACACACACACACAGCTCTACCTGTACACACACACACAGCTCTACCTGTACACACACACACAGCTCTACCTGCACACACACACAGCTCTACCTGTACACACACACACAGCTCTACCTGCACACACACACACAGCTCTACCTGTACACACACACAGCTCTACCTGCACACACACACACAGCTCTACCTGTACACACACACACAGCTCTACCTGTACACACACACACAGCTCTACCTGTACACACACACACAGCTCTACCTGCACACACACACAGCTCTACCTGTACACACACACACAGCTCTACCTGCACACACACACACAGCTCTACCTGTACACACACACACAGCTCTACCTGCACACACACACAGCTCTACCTGCACACACACACAGCTCTACCTGTACACACACACACAGCTCTACCTGCACACACACACACAGCTCTACCTGTACACACACACACAGCTCTACCTGTACACACACACACAGCTCTACCTGCACACACACACAGCTCTACCTGTACACACACACACACAGCTCTACCTGCACACACACACAGCTCTACCTGCACACAAACACACAGCTCTACCTGCACACACACACAGCTCTACCTGCACACACACAGCTCTACCTGTACACACACACACAGCTCTACCTGCACACACACACAGCTCTACCTGTACACACACACACAGCTCTACCTGCACACACACACACAGCTCTACCTGCACACACACACAGCTCTACCTGTACACACACACACACAGCTCTACCTGCACACACACACAACAGCTCTACCTGTACACACACACAGTTCTACCTGTACACACACACACAGCTCTACCTGTACACACACACACAGCTCTACCTGTACACACACACACAGCTCTACCTGCACACACACACAGCTCTACCTGCACACACACACACAGCTCTACCTGCACACACACACACAGCTCTACCTGTACACACACACACAGCTCTACCTGCACACACACACAGCTCTACCTGCACACACACACAGCTCTACCTGTACACACACACACAGCTCTACCTGCACACACACACAGCTCTACCTGTACACACACACACAGCTCTACCTGCACACACACACAGCTCTACCTGTACACACACACACAGCTCTACCTGCACACACACACACAGCTCTACCTGTACACACACAGCTCTACCTGCACACACACACACAGCTCTACCTGTACACACACACACACAGCTCTACCTGTACACACACACACAGCTCTACCTGCACACACACACACTGCTCTACCTGTACACACACACACACAGCTCTACCTGCACACACACACACACACAGCTCTACCTGTACACACACACACAGCTCTACCTGTACACACAAGCAAATATACAGCTAATGTGTACTTTTTTATTTATTTAGGTATTTACTCTGTATAATTAGGTTAATTTGAGAGATATTGTATTTTCAAATGAGTCTCTCAGTGTCATTGAGAGCCAGCATGTTTAAACAGTAGACTATTAGTGATATCTAACTGATGGGCTTATGTAACTCTGTCATGGAAAATGTGTAGGACTGGATCTATCGTACTTGGGAACGAGCATAACAAATGACCTATGTAATTATCAAAGCAATTGAATCCATAGCATGATATCTCAAATATTTAGAATAAAGATACATCTTTACACTGTAATTCACACGATCATTGGTAGCCTACAACAGCTATGTTTACTCAACACCATGCTACTGAATGATTAACCCTAAGGATGTCTTGTGTATAATTGATGTAGAAGCACTTCATCCTGTCTTTTACGTGGTGCACTCTCCATGCCAAACATGTTGTGTAGATGGCTCAGGTCACTGATCCTATTTGTTCGTGTGATATGTGGACATTAGCTCCATGTGTTGGAGTATCCTCATGGATGTCTGTATGTTTGCCTAGGCTGTTAGAATATATCATAGTGGGATCTTTGTCCAAAAGCGTTTTACAATGTGATCACTTGCACAATCTACGTCTGTGTTTCATGTGAACCTGTCTTACACAAGTTCGCTGCATTACTTGCCTCACTGCGGCTGCAAACATCCCCCCCACCCCCCAGTCACCATCACGCGCCCACTTATTGGCTACTGCTGAAGCAAGGCATAAGCTGTTCCCTAGCAACAGAGCGTGGGGCAGCCAATGCGGGGCTGCTTTGTGGAAGGAGCTACTTTGCCAATCTGCTGTTACTAAGGTGCTGGGAGTACAGTGGGAGATAGCTAGCTGAGGCTGTGGTGCGGTGGAGGGGACTATGGGAGGTTAGAGATCCCAACCAGGGTGTCTGTGTTGCTTAGAGAACCTGCCTATCAGGAGACTACACCAGGGCCCGGGATGCTCCCACTTGCTACCGTACACATAAGAGTTAATTCTGTTATTTTGTCTGTATACAGTAAAGTTGTATCTGAGAGCTGTGTGAGTGCAGTTGGCATGTGCATGGAAGTGATTATTCATGCATGTGTATTTTTCTGCATGTGTGCACACAACAAACAAATGACATGACTAAATGTGACTATGAATGTGTGGGTGAGAGGAGGACTCCTTACCGAGTTTGCTTTGAGCTGGGTCAGTTTCTTGTCGTCGTCGTGTTCTAGTGCAATGGGTGAGGATTTCTGTGGGGGGGAGAGGGTGAGATCCCTGCGCAGAGGCCGAGCCTCCAGCTTGTCCCCCTTGCGCAGACTGTCCATCTTTTGCATTGAGTCTGGGGCCGGTCCCTCCTTGCCCTCTTTACCCTCCTTACCCTCCCGCGCCCCCGATGGCCGTGCGGCCTCCCTGTCCTGGCCCTCCCTGGCCTCCCGGCTCTTACTAGGCCGCTGTCTCTGCAGGGTGTGGGAGTGGGCTTCGCCTCCGTGACCATGGTGCTCCTCTCCCGGCCCATAGGGCTTCTGGGAGTTGGAGTCCATGGGCTGCAGCGGCCTCATCTCCATCTCGTAGTTGCTCAGCTTCTCCTCGTCCTGCTCCAGCAGCCGTGTGTCACCACTGTGCGTCCGCTGGGACCTCCACGATGCTGACGGGCAGTCCGACCACCGGTCCCTGGAGGCCTTGTGATTGGACAAACCATGCTCTCGAGACTTGTGATTGGATGAGGCGTGCTTGTGGCCGTGGCCGTTGGTGCGCCCGCTGCCCCTGGCCTCCTCTTGGACAGAGGGGGTGGTAGAGCGACTGCTGCCCCAGCTGCCCCCCCTGCTGACCCCTTTAGAGGAGCGCTTGTCCTTGTCCTCGCTCCAGCTGTTGGCCCTAAGGTACTCCCCCCCGCCGCGCCCCTCCATCAGCACCTGGATCTCCTGCCCACTACTGCCCCCTCCCCCACCGCCACTGCCCCCTCCCCCACCGCCACCACCCCCAGCATCGTCCACAGCACTCTGCCGCAGGAAGCGTGCGTTCTTGGTGCGGTGTGGCTTGGCGGTGGCGGTGGCGGGGCTGCAGGGGGGCGAGGAGGGGTGACTGGCCTCAGGGCTGAGGTCAGGGGTCAAGTTTGGGGGAGTAGTGCCCTTCATGTAGAGTTCAGGACTGTCTTGCCCTGTGCCGATGGAGACCACCTCGATGTCATTCTCACTGGAGTTCTGATGCTTTGGCCTTTGGACCTCTACTCCAACAGCAGAGAGACACAGAGAGAGAGACAAAGACAGAGAGACACAGAGAGAGAGACACAGACAGAGAGACAGAGAGTCAGGACAGCATGACACACAACGTAAGGACAGATTTAGAGTTATTTAGCTATTCTCTTTGTTTTGTATTCATGAAGTCCAACCTCTGTCATATGGCCGAGGCCAACTTACCCCATGAATGACATGAACAGCTGTACTGCTAATGTCAACCAGATGATGTCAGTATTATGTAAAGGAAATCAAAGGGACGTGCATATGGAAGGAACCATAACCCCACATATTGACCTTATTTGACCTCATTTCCTTTCCTGAGATGCGTGTAGTTGACGTGCCCATTCTATGATGCAGTCATGCACACAGCACAATAGAATAGAACACCTCTTAGACAGACAGACAGACAGACAGACAGACAGACAGACAGACAGACAGACAGACAGACAGACAGACAGACAGACTATTCCTGACCACTCCTGTCCTGTCTGTAGACTAGACTCTGCCTCTTTTCAAGGTTTTTCAGTCAGCAGCACCAGAGAGAGAGAGGGGGCTGGTTAAGCATTCTACTCAGTTACGCCAGTCACTCCTTTCTCTCTCTGCATTGACTACCCTACCTCGCTGTCTCCCAGATGTCTGCACCCAGCCAGTCACAGCACTCACACAATCTTTACTTTGCTCAACAGGCAGCACAGCACGGCAAGGCACAGCACAACACTATCACTCTCACGCTAAGCCTCAACAGTGCTCAAAGGGCTAATTTATCATGTGCAAGTGCACAGATATTGTATGCAAAGGGTTTTGCTGGCACATAGGAGCTTGGTGAAATGACCCGTTTCAGTTAGGACAAATGCTGTTGTCGTGGCTCTGAGGATAAACCCAGCCTCCTAGGGAATCTGTAACTGTGAGTCTTTATAATGTCATGACATTAAAAACAGCCATCAAGGTATCGTCAGGTACGTGGAACAAACAAACAAGCAAGGGACAGTATATGTCAGGAAGTGTGTGTGTGTTTAAGAGTGTGTGTGTGTGTGTGTGTGTGTGTGTGTGTGTGTGTGTGTGTCAGTCAGCCTGCCTTGCGTGGGCTTGTTGGAAAGGTCATTGTTGACCTCCCTCCAACTTCCTGTTGCTGCCTCCATCACTCATGACTTGCACTGCGCTGTGGGTAACCGTTCCCATGGGGCCCGAGCACCAACAGTACAGCACCCACATGCCTGACACTGACACCTGATTGACTTTGCCATTCTGTCCTCTCTCTCGCCGTTAGTTACATGTTCAGGAGACATACTCTATGTGACAATGGGGTGGTTGCCTCACTTTATTCATATATGATACAGTATGTAGTTTCTCCACCATTACAAGTTGATAAAATAAAGTGACACACTGAATGTCAAATAGAATGTATTGGCATTAGTGTATTGCCATCTTTGGTTATAAAAAGACTGTGTGTGACAAAATTGGTATTGGTGGTTGCCATGGGGATGGTGGCACACTCACCGTTTTTGCGGTGCTGGAAGGAGGGGGAGAACTCTTTGGCGGTGACCCTGGCGATGCGACACTCTTCCTGGGCCTTCTGGACTGCTCCCACGGCCGCCTCTGCTTTCCCTCGTGCATGGGCCGTCCTGGATATGAGGAGATAAATAATTTGAGGAAGATGAATGATTAAATATTTTATTAATCAAATGTTTTTTTGTCTGTTAAAAAATAGTCATGTTGAAATAAATACCTATCATATTACACATTTAGTAATGACAGAATGGACTTGAAACTTCACACACAGTAAAACCTTTGTATGACAATACAATTATTTTATTGATAGGAGTGGGAAAAAAGGTGCTTGTGCATTGATAAGCACAACAAAGCACACCGAAGACGACCTTAACAATAAGTAATAAAATAAATACCTCACTTCTAAAAGCCTATTTCTCTCTATAGCCTGCTTAATTTGAAAGATTAATTATAATCCACGTAATAATTCACATTTCCTGTTGCTGCAGGATTATTTTCCTGCTGTGTCAAACTGGCTCAAATTAAGATCCTACATCTGTAGCTTCCTTTGTAGTATACCCCTCTGGTATGTGACAGACAGCCCCATACTTACATCTGTCTCTGTGTCACGCTACTGTGGTCTCATAAAATAATAGAGGCCTGATGATAATGTGCACTTACAATCCCTTCAAATGGATAATTCCGTTTTAGCTCGCATGACGTAAAGCCACGTCCAGAGGAGAACATATGGTGCTTTCCCAATCGTTTTGCCTTTACCATTCTTCCTAGTCTCTCTCCCTCCTTCCCTCTCCCTCTCTCCCTCCCTCTCTCCCTCTCTCTCTCCCTCCCTCTCTCTCTCCCTCCCTCTCTCTCTCTCTCTCTCTCTCTCTCTCTCTCTCTCTCTCTCTCTCTCCTCTCTCTCTCTCTCTCTCTCTCTCTCTCTCTCTCTCACTCACTCACTCTGAACCCTTTATTCTGTCTCTTTCCTTTTCTATTTCCCTCTCTCCTCCTTGTTTGTGAGGTAACTGTCTTGGTGCAGTATTGCATGTCGATGGTTATTGATTTTGTTTGCCTCTCTGTTTCTTTTTGCTTCTGGCTCTCTTCACCCTGGCAGTAGAGCTCACAGCACTGTGTGTGTGTGTGTGTGAGAGAGAGTAATAGTCTGTAAAAGTCTAAATTTGTTAGTTTTAGATAGCCGTGTGTGGACAGTGTTGGCTGGCCTGGCGTGTTTGGTAGGGACACATTAGTGGGTGTTGGAGATGGGTGTAGTCAGGGTGAGGGGGTTAGCTGAGGTGAGCTGAGATGGAGATAGAGCTCCTCATCCTGCTCTACCTGGACTGTTGTCCTAGCAACTGCAGGAGCAAGGGAGTGAGAAACATAGTGAGAGAGAGAGAAATATAGTGAGAGAGAGAGAAACATAGTGAGAGAGAGAAAAACATAGTGAGAGAGAGAAAAACATAGTGAGAGAGAGAGAAACATAGTGAGAGAGAGAGGGGGGGGGGGGGAGCAGAGTGAGGGAGGATAGGAATCTTCCATTCAGTGTTACTGTGCCTCAGAGCACTGCATGACTTATTTTACAGCTTCATAATTTAGAAAGAATGCAGTGATCACCCCATCTCTCTCTCTCTCTCTCTCTCTCACTCTCACGCACGCACGCACGCACGCACACACACGCACGCACGCACGCACGCACACACACACACACACACACACACACACACACACCCACACACACACACACACACACACACACACACACACACACAGTAGCACATGTGCTGGCGTGTAAGGCAGATATGGATTAGATTCTCTGACTATTTATATCCCACTGAGCCACAGCATTAAGAACACCACTTCTGATTTCACAGAGACATGAATCATTCCATGACATCAGACACACCCAGGACATTTTGCCTGCACCCCTCCTCCCTCCTAATACACCTTCTTACTCTCATGCACACAGGCACGCATGCACGTGCACGCACACACAGACATACATGCACACACGCAAACACGAACAGAAGTTATTTCACCCCTCTCTGACTCTCACAATGCACAATGTCTCTACTTCTTGAACCCTATTTCTCATGCAAACACAGACACGTTTTCTCACACAACTTGCACTCACCTTGTAACACACAAGTAAAGACGATCTCCCTCCTCCCCACCTGCTCTCTAGCACACATTTTGAGAGCTAACTTCCTCTCACACCTTTATCTATCTAACACATTCATTCACATTGAATATATTCGTCTTGAGAAAAGCTGCTAGCTAACCTTATGTTAATGTAAAAGAGGCCATGCTTATACAATCTTAAGTAACCTAGAATGGCCTGACTAAGGTATGGCAAGGCATGAGAGAGAAGCTCAGTCCCAAATGGCACTCTATTCCCTATATAGTGCACTACTTTTGACCAGAGCCGTATGGGGAATAGGGTGCCATTTGGGACACAAGGAGAGTCTCACTAATCCTCAGGATGACACACATAAGCAGCCTCTTTTTAATAAGTTGCATCAAGATGGAGTTGAGCAGATGCTGTTTTAAACATGACTGACATGACGCATTTACCCTATTAAAATCTCACAACCATCTCTTTCTGTCCTTCTGTGGTCTCCTTCTGCCCCTGTTTGTGAGCATGTTTCTCTCTCTCTCTCTCTCTTCTCTCTCTCTCTGTGTGTGTGTGTGTGTGTGTGTGTGTGTTTGTGTGTGTGTGCGTCTGAGTGTTTGTTGTTGTTTGTCTATATTATTATGTGACTATGCATTATTTATTGGTATCTTACCTCAGAGTAACCTTTGTCTTGGAGTTCTACAAGGAAAATACCTTTCCTCTCATAATATCTGGGTTAGCCTGAGTACTGTATGCACCAGAGAACTGCTCTAGAGGCAATTAAAATGTTCAGCATAGAACGGTTGAGGTCAATCTCTCTTCTCACACGGTGTTCCTCGAAATGTACTCCCCTGTCTCACAGACAGACAGAGGTATGCTACCCACATTCTCCTTATTGTATTTTAGCACAGCTGCAAAGTCAAGCAGTGGCTGCTATTGTTCCTGTGTACAACATTATACCCCTGCTCTCATCCTCTCCTCTCTCTGTGCTACAGCAGTGCCATACTGAATCAGCTGACATAAATGTATTCTCCTGCTGCATCGCGGTGTAGATGCCCTCTTATCTATAATGAGTGTGCCCTGTGTAGGTACTTAGCTGTAGCCAGTGTTCCCTTTGTAGGTAGTTAGCGGTAGCCAGTGTGCAGGTAGTTAGCGGTAGCCATTGTGCAGGTACTTAGCTGTAGCCAGTGTGCCCTATTATTATAAATGTATTTTTTATCATTTAGCAGACGCTCTTATCCAGAGTGACTATGGTTAAGTGTCTTGCTCAAGGGCACATCGGCATGTTTTTCACCTAGTCAGCTTGGGGATTCAAACCAGCGACCTTTCGGTAACTGGCCCAGCGCTCTTAACCACTAGGCTACCTGCCGCCCTGTGTAGGTACTTAGCTGTAGCCAGTGTGCCTGGAAGAGTTTGATGAGCTTAAATAGGATTTGAGTTTTAGAACCAAATATAGAAAATGCATACCCTTGCATGTACTGTACGTATGTGTAGAAACACAGACACAGACACACACATGGAGGTGTACAGAAGCCCACAAAATGTAACATAGCTATGTAAAACAAGACTTAAGTCCCTAGTTTTTAGAGTAATACCCTTTGGGGTTGCGTCCTATCATATAATAATTAATCGATATGCATAGTTAAGACTTTGGAGATCTTGGAAGTGTGTGCTGGGTATGAAGGTTGTAAGCGTGGGTGTTTGAACATTTGTTTGCATGCACATATATTTATGTGTAAATTGTGTGTGTGCGGGCCAGCCTCCAGTTCAGCCTTCCTTGTCTCTCTACGGCTGTCCGCCAACACTGTTGGCATAATGCAGAAATCTCTCTCTCTCTCCTCTCTCTCTCTCTCTCTCTCTCCTCTCTCTCCTCTCTCTCTCTCTCTCGCTCTCCTCTCTTCTCTCTCTTCTCTGGCTTCATCTCGCTCTCTCTCTCTCTCTCTCTCTCTCTCTCTCTCTCTCTCTCTCTCTCCCATGCCTTTCTCCCTCCAGGAGTAGGCCTCCACGGCCCAACACAGGAGTGCAGAACTAAGTCAATAAACAGGCAGATCACACAGATATTCTGTTATCAAAGTTTATGGCCTAATTGCGCTTTCTCTTTATCTCTCTCTGTCAACCACACAAACACATAAACACACACACACACACATGCACGCATGCATTGACACAGATACACATGTGCATGCACACACACGCCACACACACACACCACACACACACACACGTCACAGACACACACACGCACATTCAAAAACAAATGCACATATGCTTTCAAATAATGATGTAATAGTTTATAACCATGACACCATGACCGTGTATACCCACATCATTGATTGTGCCTCTACTGCTCACCCATCAATATAGACCCATCAAGGTTCTGGGCAACGTGTTTAAACAATCCATACCAGCCTCATTCAGACCCCAGTCTGGCTTGGTCAGGGAAGAGGAACTCAGTATAGTGGGCCATGCAGAGTTCCAAGAGCAACCAGCTATGTAATCCAACCCTAGTTTGTAAGTAAATGAATAGTCACTGAGGACAGTTTGTTAAAATAAATACAATGTGATGTAGCTCAATGTTACCATACATTCTTACAGTTCCTTAGTCCAGTAGGGGATACACAAACTAACAGTGGGGAATCGTGAGGGCCTTCTACGCCTTCAGAGAAGGCATAAGGATTTATACAATAATTGTTGTAGTTTTAAAATATACATTTTTGGTATTCTGATTATATTATTCTTCTCAATGATATTCTGATTGAATCTCTTCTGGTTGTTTTGGAAAGGAAAGGGTTAACACTGAAGCAAAAAAAAGATCCAATCAGGGATTTTCTTTGTTGTCTCTGGGGAGATAAATCTAGCTAGCTAAGTCAGCCATTGGCTAGGCCCTCAGAAGCTAGAATGAAGGCATTTGCCATTCAACTGTATTAGGCCAGAATTTTGGAGTGACAGTGGAATCAACCAATCACATTTTGACTTGTAATGGGTGGGACAGTTTTTACAAAAAACGTATGGAAACGTACAGCTTCTCGAAGGCGGACACGTCACTGCACAATAGCGAGCAGTAGTTTTCCCACGGTTTAGCTAGCCAGCTTTTGTTGTAAGCTAGTTAATAGTGTATAGCAGCTGCAGCAGGTGTTATTGAAGAGGATGTTGTTGCTAATTTGTTGCTGTAGCTTCGCCCTTTTCAAGATGAACTTTCAACAAGAAGTGATGTTTCAAATTATCACCATTTGGTGAATGGAACAGTGTTTTTTATTGCAGCTCGCTTGCCGTTGTTAGCTATCTCTTTGAAAATAACATTGTTGCATTTAAACTTTAGATTGATCACTGGGTACTTTGTGTGCTGAACGTGATGAGATGTATCATAATGAGATGTATAATAGTTGTACATTTTGATTGGGAAATGCTTAGCCTAATGGTTGTGTTTTTGTATTCTTATGATTGGGACATACTGGCTTATTATGTCTGAGTGAATGAGCTTCTTATCCTTTAACATAATGCTGTGTGTGACTGCTGTCTTTCTAGTGGCTCTATGTGTTTTACAAAAAGTGTGCTCTCCTACATGGAGTACGCTGGTATTATAGTCACTGTCCTTTCAGCATCACAGGGTGAAGTGGTGCCTGGAGAAGTGGGTATACTCTGCCCAAAAATGTCCAAACGGTCCGCCCGGCAAAGGAAAGGCGCCCTGTGTGAAAAATTATGTTGTTTTCTTTAAAAATATATATGAATTTTCCTATAGTTTTTTATGCTTTCACTATCAAAATCACACTTTTTCTTTAAATAGAAAAATGAAAAATAAGTCCACAACAATGCTTAAACCACATCAGGAGACCATTTTTTAGGTCTGGAAAAAAGGAGGGTCCCTTTAATTCAATGCAAGAGACCGTTTGGCTAATGGTGTTTCTGTATGCTACTGTACAATGTAGGCCTACAGTGTAGGCTACAAGTGATGGCAGGGTTTGCAAAACAAATTACCTCCCAAATGATACAAATCTTCATGATATCACACAATCACACAAACGTCCCAAAGGTTCGAATCTCATCATGGACAACTTTAGCATTTTAGCTAATTAGCAACTTTGCACTACTTACTACTTTTTAGCTACTTTGCAACTACTTAGTATGTTAGCTAACCCTAACCATAACCCTAACCTTAACCAAAACCTTAACCCCTAACCCTAACCCCTAGCCTAGCTAACATTAGCCACCTAGCTAACGTTAGCCATCTAGCGACCTAGCTAACGTTAGCCACAACAAATTGCAATTTGTAACATATCATACGTATTGCAAATTCCTAACATATTGTATGAATTCCAATTCGTAACATATCATATGAATTGTAATTCGTAACATATCATACTAATTATAATTCGTAACATATCATACAAAATGGATGATGGACATCCACAAATTAATACATACTATATACCATACCAAACGTAACAGATCATACTATTTTGAGTGTCCTGGATTTTATTTTACTATGTTACGTCTACCCATGAGTACAGGTTGCAGGCGAACAACCAGTTGAGAGCTGCTTGCTCTTGAGATGATCCTCTGGTGAAACTAAGCTATGTGCGGCAGCGCGCATGTGAATATTTTTGTGCTTTGCGATGTCGTAGGCTACTTTGTGCATGATTTCTCTATTGTACTACATAATTGATACGGTGTATAGTATACCTCCATTACACTACTTTGATACACATCAGTGGAGATTAAAAAGTGAGTATACGCAATGCCCACCGAAACAAAAGTTGGTATATGGCATATACCTGCTTATAGCCCACACTAACACCACTGATCACGAGCGAGTCACAATCACATCCTTTGACGTGTCACTGTTAGTGATTTTGGAGTTCGGTACAACGTGTTGGAAGATTATTTTTCGCCACTGAAGGCATAGGTCCAATAGTCACAATTTGCCACAGCAAACTAAGCTCTAGTAATTGCTATTTGGAGATACCATAAGCCCTCTATCCATCAAGCCTGACCCAAAGCTGGCCCTCTACCAGCCTCCTATACACAGACTACTATAATTAAGCAATAAGGCACAAGGGGGTGTGGTATATGGCCAATATACCACTGCTAAGGTTGTTCTTTCACACGACGCAACGCAGAGCGCCTGGATACAGCCCTTAGCATTGGTATATTGGCCATATATCACAAACCCCGAGGTGCCTTATTGCTATTATAAACTGGTTGCCAACGTAATTAGAGCAGTAAAAATAAATGTTTTGTCATACCCGTGCTATACGGTCTGATATACCACAGCCTGCTAGGAAGGCCACATGGACCTCCTGGTAGTAAGGCCTGCTAGGAAGGCCACATGGACCTCCTGGTAGTAAGGCCTGCTAGGAAGGCCACATGGACCTCCTGGTAGTAAGGCCTGCTAGGAAGGCCACATGGACCTGTTGCTGGGTCTTACCTGGACATGGCGATCTCAGCCTTCTGCTTGGCGATGTCTGCAGCCTTCTCAGCCGCGTCCACAGCCCGGTCCACCTTCTCTCTGATCTTACTGGCTCTGAGGGGGATCAGGTTCTTTCTCTTGCCGCTCACCAGGACATTCTGCTTGTACTTGCCCTCCTCCTTGGTCCCGTCAGGGAAGGTTGTGCAGCCGTACCCATGCCGCTTGTTTCCCATCCACTCCCCCTCATAGTGCAGGCCGTCTGAACGCCGGCTCACGCCAAAGCCTGTGCGCTTGTCGTTCTTCCACTCACCGCAGTAGGTCTCTGTTGCCGTGGCATCCACATCGTCCTCGGTGGCGGCCAGTTCGGCCTCGCCCTCTCCCAGGCTGATGGTGGAGTTGACTGAGCTGACCGTGCTCATGCCCGCCTCGCTGCGGAACGAGCTCTGCTTGGAGCGCTGGCTGGCCAGAGAGCTCTTGGACTCTGACTTCCTCAGTTTGAGTCCGCTGAGGATGGAGCGGCCTCGGAACAAACCCTTCTTCTTGCCCTTCAGCAGCTCTGCTTCGCTGTGTGCCGTGAGCACGAAGCCCCCCCGTGACACGGCCGGACTGCCAGAGGAGCCCATCCCGCCCACGCACGCCACGCCGGCCCGGTCCGGGAGCAGAGCCATCCCGTTACTGTGCTCCGAGCGCAAGGAGTTTATGGAGGTACGCAGCGGAGAGCGGATGACGGCCGCCATGCCGTACGGCACACTCTGCCGCAGGCCGTATCCCTGCCGCATCCCCCCCACCCACTGGCCCTGGTACGTACCTGCAAAGAGACAGAGACAAAGGTCACAATGCATACCAATATGATATAACAGCATATCAATAAATGATTCATTTTTATATTTCACAATACAACAACAACACTAGTGATAGCGATATGGGCCTAAGGGTGCTGGGGTCATGAACATACTTCACAAAGGCCCTGTGATATATGATGTTTGTTCACTCTCACAGCCACACCTTGTTGCATCATATTGTTAGCATTGAGACACCAGACCACCTGTAACAGATCAGCTGTAGGGCTGAACTCCTGGGCAAAGAGCAATGCTACTATTCCCTCAGACTCATACCCACTCTTTATTTTCCTTGAAAAGGGGAAAATGGTATCTTTTTTTTTCCGGCCAACAAAAATCCATTTTTTTCCCCGAGGGTTTTTGTTTGTAAGTAATTTTTTTGGGAAAAATGGGTGATATGTTTTTTGTGTGCCCCAAAGCCATTGAAGGGAGAGGAGGGGGGGGAAAGCTAGAAAGAGCAACAGGAGAAAAAGGAGAGAGAAAGAGATAGAAAGAGAGAAAAGAAGAGAGGGGAAGGAGAGAGAAAAAAGAGGAAGAGGTAAAGGGGAAAAAAAAGGAATGGATTTAGGTAGGAAGGGTCTTATACCTTCTTAAATTAAATTTTTCCTAAATTTTAAAAAAATCCGCCAAACTCATCCTCCCCCAAAAAACTCCCTCCCTTCCGTCCCTCCCAAACCAAAAACCCCTAAAACCCCCAAATAAAAAAATAATCCTCCCCCTTCCCCCTCCCCCCCGCCCCCCTCAACCCCCCTCCCCCCCCCCTTTCCCTCCCTCCCTCCCCCCTTTCCCTCCCTACCCTTTTTCCTTTCCCCCCCGCCTTTCCCCTTTTTCACTTCCCCCCCTTTCCTTCCCTCCCCTTCCCTTCCCTTTTTCCCCCCCCTTCCTTTGGTTTTTTTGGAGCCCCAAATTTTCCCTTAAACGGAGGCTCCAGGGAAAAATTCCCTCCTTTTCCTGGTCGGGTCCTTCCTCCAAATTCCCTTCCTTTGCCCACCACTTTTTTTTAAAACCCCTCTATAAATTTCCCCCGAAATCTTACTTAAAAAACTAAGGGGTTTTGTGTTTTTTGGTTCACACCAATTTTACCATAAACCCCCAAAAACCCAAAAAAATTACCCTCAAATTAAACCAAACTTTCCCCCAACACATCATTAATTCCGGGTAATAGGGGAAAAACCGGCCCAATTAAAAAACCCAAAACCCAAAAACCCACTCCTTTTCCCTCCCTTTTGGGATAAAAAGTATTGATAATGGGAAATTTTCCCCGGGGCTGAAATCCCATTCACCCCAATATATGTTTTGGGGAAAAACTGTGGCGAATTAGTGAAGAGCACCAAAACCCTCTATCCCCCAATTTTCCATCCCGTTATCTATCACAAATTTTTCCATCCAGTTTATTTTTCAAAATTTTTTTATTTAGGGTCATTTTCCCAACCAAAAAAATGTAATTTATTTTCCCTAAAACTTCCAGTATGGCAGTTTGGTCATAAAAAAATCGCCCTCCCAAACCCTCTCGAGGATCAAAAATCTCAGAATGTCCAAAATGAAAGGTACAAATAAAAATTAGGTGCCTGAAACAGCGAACAAAGGACTGCCCCTTACGGCAAAGGGTAAAAAAGGTGATTTTTAAATTTGGGCGCTGGATTCCAAAAAATTCCCAATGGTTGCTAATTTTTTAAATGGTTTAAAAAATTTCCTTTTTTAGCCCATTTAGCAAAAACGCTCTTATCCGGAAAAAACATTTTTAAATTAGTGAGTGCAAAAATTTTCATACGGGCCCCCCGGGGGAATCAAACCCCAACAACCCCGGGCGTTGAAAGTGCCCAGGGCCTCCCAAAACTGACTAAAAGGGACCTTTGATGGTAAAATTTTTTCAGCCCTTTTCCAAACTGACATATCTATGGGGATGGGGGCCAGCAAAATTTTCCCCTATTGTGAACTCCCGCCACTCAAAAAAGCCCTATTTTGAAATTTTAAAATGGCCCCAATACTTGTATTTTCAAAAACCATTTCCCTTAGTAGTTTGAAAATTTTAAAGGGGTTACCCGGTTTTAAAACCCCCTTTTTCTCTTTTTTCCCTTCCCAAATATAGGTCCAACTGTGGGAAAATTCTCTGTATTTTGGGAAATCAAAGGCCCTTTTAAACTGCATCTCTTTTTTCTGCCTCCTCTCAAAACAAAAAACGCAGCACCACCATCGCCCCCAAAACCCAACACACACAAAACCCCCCACACAACAAAAACAAAAACCCAACCACCACCAAAAACACACAAAACCCACACAAAAAACACACACCCCAACCCACACACACACACACCCCACACACCCCCCACACACCCATTCTTTTGGGGACCAAAAAATTGCCCCCCCTTTCAAATCAATTTTCCCTAACCTCTAAACCAAACCCCAAAACCCTAACCTTAACTCCAAACCCCAAACATAACCCTAACTCCTAACCCTAACCCCTAACCCTAATTCTAACCCTAACCCTAATTGTAACCCTTACCCTAAACCTAACCACTAAGCCTAAAATAGCGTTTTTCCTTGTGGGGACCAACAAAATGTTTCCACTTGTATGAATTTTCCTTGTTTTACTATCCTTGTGAGGACTTCTGGACTTCCAGTAAAAAACTACCTAATTGACTGATCTATAGGATCCATCTATGTACAAGTATTCGTCTATCTTATCTATATTCTGTCCTTTCCATGCTGCCAATGACTGAGCAAACCCTCTGATGTACAGCTCTTCTGCTCTGTGATTCATCATAGCAAGCTTTCTAGAATATGCTGCTTAAGTGTGGAGTCAGCACACATACAGATCTAGGATCTTAATTTGATCACCCTGTTGCAGGAGAACTGTACTAAAACTTGTAGTTTATTTGAGGTTTTGTAATTTTGTAATTTCCACTTTGAAATTTCAGACTTGATTTTTCCCTTATGAAAAATGTATCAGTACCTAAAAAAATGTCCATTAATTATAATCCACATAATAATTCACATTTCCTGTTACTGCAGGATTATTTTCCTGCTGTAGCAAACTGGCTCAAAATTAGATCCTACATCTGTGTAGGCCCATATAAGGATCACAACTGATCTCTGTATCTCTTTTTGTATCACTCCTTCTCCAACAACCCCCCCCCCCCCCCCCCCCCCTCCCCTAACCCCACACACGCACACACACGCACACACGCACACACGCACACACACACACACACACACACACACACACACACACTCCCCTTTTCTCTCTGCCTTCATTGCGCTCTGTGGGCTGGCATGTCAGTGAAATGCACAAGGTTGGAGGGTTCAATGAGGCAACAGCAGAGAGAGTGTGGGATATCCCCACCCCCACAGCAACACACTGCTGCTGCTACTTCTACTGCTGCTACTGCTGCTACTGCTGCTACCGCAGTAGTATGAAAATAACTACTGAAACCTACTACTTTTCAAAACAGGCCTGGCAGTCTGGGTGGGTATTGTATATTTCTGTGCGTTTGAGTGTGTGTGGGGGGAGAGTGAAATAGGTAGACAAAGAAGAGAGAAAGAGGGAGAGAGAGAGCAAGAATAATACCAAGCTCTAACTTACTCTCATGTGTGGAGGTATTACTCATCGTTCCCCCCCCCCCCCCCCCCCCACACGGTCTGACCGTCACAGAGACAGCTGGGCCAACATCTGGGCACACCCCCCCCCCCGATCCTATCAAATTTCCAAAAAACCCCCGTGGAAATTTTTGCCATAAAAAAAAATGGGGAAAAAAAAAAAATAATAAAAGGGTGAAAAAGGGGCCCAAAATCCCTCTCTTTTCCTTGCGCCTTTCCCGGGGGCCCCTTTTTTGGGTTTAAAAAAATTTTAGGGTTATTTAAAGGAAAATATTTGATGCCCTGGGGTGGTCTTCCACCAAAAAAAACGGGGTACCGGGGTAGAATGGAAAAAAGGGCGGGGGCCCGGGGGTGGGGCCTTTTGGGGGCCCCATAAGGGGGAAAAAGTTGTCCCCTTTTTTTCCCCCAAACAAAGTTGGATTTTAAATTTACTTTTTCGGGCTTCCCAGACTGAAATAAGGTTTGCAGCCCGGGTTTCCTTTTCCCAGAGAAGTGACTTATCCTCTCTTGAACAGTTTGTTTCGGGTCCATGGGGGTCAGCCCCAAAAAGCATATTTAAAATTTTTTATTAAAAAGTTTTGAAAGAAAAATTAGCTAGAATCAGGCCCATAATGAAAAAACGGGTTTGTATGAAAATACCCCCTAAAGAAAAAAAAAAGAAAAAATAAAAGATGGTGTGTCCCCGCCCCCTTGGGCAACGCAAAAACCCTTTTCCCCTTTCGTGAAAAGGGGGGTAAAAGCTTTAAAAAAAGTTGAGAAGGGACGTCTCTCTCTCCCATGAGAGAGCAGTGCACGTAAACTCTGATTCTTTGGCAATCCATTGACGTAGCCATGGGATCATAATCTCACCACTAGGACTTGTATCTCACTACAGTCATTAGTAAAGGATAGCTAGGCTAATGCCTGGTGCAAGTATGCACACATGAACATGAATTATGAGGCGAAATAAATCCAATGTCACATCTAGCAGAGACAAATGCAGTAGCCTACCTGAATATACTTTTAACAAATGTGTGTTAATTGAATTCAAAGTATCAAGTGCCCCTGAAATGTCAGTTACATTTTCCTTCTGGCTTAATTTTGACATTGACATAAAAAGCCTGTCATTACACATGCCATGAATCATTCCACATCAAGCAAAACATATTATAGGCCTACTTTGGTTGTGTCATCCTTGTATAGCCTTATAGACTTTAGGAATGTTTTAATGAAGCTGCATTGTGAACTGATGTGTAGGGCTATTGACGTTGGAGCTCTCCATGGTGCTGAAACGATAGCATTCTGTCTGTTGGGGGTGGATGGATGCACGTTCATCAGTGGTTTGCCTGAACAGTTTCCCACGCGGGTATGTGCCCTTACAGCTCGATCAGGA